AGAAAGAAACACCTGTCTTGGAAAGCACATCATCTACATTGATTTGAATTCCATGTAATGTACAGAGCAGACCTAATAAACAAGGCTGCGATTCACCTGATTGATTTACCGGTTTAAAGTGCTCTTTTACCTGTTGTACTGAAAACAATGGAGAATCCTGCACATTGTCTCCAAGACTGATATGAGTTTAATGTGCATTTTAAATATCTGCATTTTGAGCTTATTCTTTCTTTTACAGTGTGAAGAACAAGTAGAATCGTGCAAGAGAGAGCTCCAAGAATTTAGACTTATTAGCTGCAGAAAGGTATTAATAATATTAATTATTAATATTGTTATCATAACAAGTATAAAACAATTTCAATTTCAGACTGTCAATGTTGAATATTTTCTGGTTATTAAGTCAATTTTTCCTGGAACAGTTTAACATCTGCATCACAGGTTTGTACCTGTAATTTACTTTACAGTAACTGTTGTGATATTTGAGTTCTTTTTTTATTAGGCTATGGCAGAAGAAAGCAAAAGATACTGTTTTGTTCTTGATAAATGTAGTATTGTTTCCAAAAGCACAATGGAATTTTGTGAACATGTAAGTAGTGGTATTAAAGTATATCATATTTTTTTTTGTAGGAAATTAGTTTTGACTTTACAGTAATTGCATGTTAAAGACACTCTGCAAGATAGTGATATTGTGAGCAAATAGAAGTGAACTAAACATCGTCAATTTTTTTTTTAAAAAATTCATTCCTTTTTCTTACAAAGTTTTCTAGTAGAAATAATTTAAGATTTTCTATGTGATTCTCTACAGCTATATAAAAACAAGACTTGGAAGTGTGGCAGAATGAGAAAAGCCATGGGAACATTGAGCCACCAACAAGTGCTTCCATTACTCTTTTGAGTTCTCCCAAACTTTCACTCATATTAACATACTATAACTATAGACTGAGAATGTTTTTTTTTCGTCTGAAATAATTAATATGATTTTATGAATATATAATTTTGTGCTATGTAATTTAAAGAAGCTTGTTTCCAGTTGTAACACATAATTTACATCCACATTTATCATACATGTAATTGACAGAAAGCTCAAATACTAAGAGAAAAGCTTCCAGTTTGGTTTTCACATGTGAAAAGAAAAGGTGATCCTGATTCTCAGGTAAATATTTTAATTTGTTTGGTGTAATGTGAGTGAGCTTATTACAAGTAACATTTGTAGGTTTTGTATGTAATAGGTAAAAAAATTCTTGAGGACTGCCAAAATTGGGCAAAGACCTGGGGCAAGTGCAATTTGAAAGTCAGAATTTTTTGTTAATTCAGTTATTTCCGCACTGAACCAGTATGTAGTCATATAACTGTCACTATTAGGAAGCTGTTGTAAGCAATATCACCAAATATCATGGTCAGGTCAACCTCTGGCTGAGGTCATAATATATTAACTTAGTATATACCACACAAGTGAATAGTGCTTTTCGCGCGCTCTTGATTGGTTAACTCAGAGGTGATTAGCAAGTACTATTCACCTCCGAGCAGCCGGCAGGAGAGATTTTAAAATTTCCGACCGCTTGTCACACATAAAATAACGTTTTGGTCTGCTAATTGTTCAGGTTGTGTGGTATATACTAAAACAATTATTCACCTCAGTGTAAGTGAAAGTGATGGATGTTTACCTCCACTTCGGTGAATAATTGTTATGTTGTTTTACTGGACAAGGCATGTTTGGAGGCATGGTGGCCTCATGCTTGGTGCACTTATCTCCAGATCAAGCGGTGTGGGTTCAAGCCCTGGCCAGGGTCATTGTGTTGTGTTTTCGGGCAAGACACTTTACTCTCACAGTGCCTCTCTCCACCCAGGTGTATAAATGGGTACCAGCAAATTAAATGCTGGGGGTAGCCCCGCAATAGACTAGTTTCCCATCCAAGGGGAAGCAGTAATACTCCTAAGCTCCAGCCTGATGGGCCACTTGGCTTGTATGTGGACAACCTTACGGGACAAGGCACTTTACCAACACTGCCTCTCTACATCCAGGTGTAGACTGGCAGAGAGCCAGGAATTTTATGCTTGAGGTAACCCTTTGATAGAGTACCAAGGTTCGTACGGGTCCTGGAAAACCTGGAAAGTCCTGGAATTTTATTGTGAGATTTTCCAGGACTGGAAAGTCCTGGAAAAGGGCTGCTGGTCCTGGAAAGTTCTGGAAATCTGTAAACTCAAGTGAAAAAATATGAAATGTATGGCAGACAGTAAGGAGAATTAACTTTAAGATCTTGGGAGTGAAAGGGTTAATGTGAATTTTAGAGTCCTGGAAATTCGTTTCGGAAAAAGGGTACAAGCCCTGAGTGCATGTACTATTCCATCTTTAGAGTTGAAACGCTCTTACTTATATATGTGTGTGGTTACGTCAATGCAACTGAAACTGGAGAAAAGTGAGAGCCTGATCACAACAACAACAACTTAGTTTATTTGTACTCATTGTTACAGAAAATGTACTGTACATTATTATTACTCAGACCTTACTGACTAGAGTATTTTTAGTGGTCTTCATATCTTTCATATCTTTATGAACATTTGCATCCTTTCCTTTTTTTCCTCAACTGTGATTTTGTTGTTGGGTTTGAAAACTAGTTATGTTTTATATTTCCAGGTTAATGGCTCCATAATGCATGCAGAGACTGAAAAGACTGAAAGGTACTGAAGGTTACTTTATAGCATAACCTTAACTCCGGACATTTAAGAACACTTGAGAAATGTACAAAACACTCACCTGCGGCTCATGTTTTCTACATTTCTCTCGTGTTCTTGAATGCCTGTTGTGTTTTATCACAGTGTAATACACGGCTTAGGCTTCTTTTTTTGCTTTATGATATAGACTGAGGAAATACAGCAAAAAACAATAAACCATGCTTTTTCTATGTTTTATACTTTGATAAAACATGGGTTTTTGACCAATCAGAGCATGCGCAGGGTCCTAACTATATTACAAATGTTTTTATCAGTAAACATTCTCTAAATAATTTCATTACACTTTTGGATTGTGTAAGGTGCTGCTGCTGTTGAAAATAATAATCCATCCCCCTCCTACTAAGGCTTTTTGATTTGAACTCCCCCTCCCGCTGGAAATTCCAGTTTTGGTTCACACTTTCGTTTAAACATTTTGGCTTTTGAGATCTTCCTCCCCCTTGGAATTTTCTAAACCCCTTCTTGGGGTGGGTATTGGTATTTTCTGGAACCACACAAGAGGCCACATTCATATTGTCAGTACTGGACTGGAACTAGCTTGTAACTGAGGCTAATGCAGGGAGTCTTTTCAAATGCAAATGACATTCATCATCATATATCCGTTCTCCAAGTGGAGAATTGGGCCGTAAGCTCTCTGCCTCCAGGCTGTTCTGTCCTCCGCAGCCGATGCTGCTGCTGCCCATGTTCTTAAACCTTCCTTTTAAAAAATGTAAATGACAMTAACATCTTTTTAATGATATTTCCCCGCATGGGCCTCCAATCCAAGATAGTTCCAGTCCAATCGTGAGAATACAACTAAGCTGTATATTGTCGAAATCTAAAATTATTGTTTGTGCATAGTGATAAGATGTTAATGTTGTTCTTTTTGTAGAATGAAGCTAAGAGCAAATTTTGCCCACACAGCAGTTGAAATGTCGCAGCTTAGTTTTAAAGTGGTATGTTCATGTTCTACATTTGATGCAAGAGCACATTTTAAAGATGTTCCCTTGAGAAATGTGTATGAAATTTAATTACAGTTGAACCCCTGTTAAGCAACCAGTTATTAAAGTCCTGAAATTGTTGTTAGTAAAATACTGGAAGTAAAACCCCTATTAACTGGTGCACCCTTTGGCCGTCCTGATGAGAGTTTTTCATTGTCCCTACCTCTGTGATGTGGCCACCCAAAATTTAATACAGTTGAAGTTTAGCTTTGTTTAGGACAAGCATATAACAGATAAGAGTCAGAAATAGAAAGTGATCATTGATTAAAATGCATTGTATTTATTGTCTTCATGTGATTATATGTTGCCCTAAAGCAAGTTGGTATTTGAATAAAATGACTTTTCTATTAAGCCTCATACTAATTCCTGAAGAACCCCCATTACACCCGCTTTCAGTGTTATGTGCATTGGTGACATCTTTCAACCATCTTTCGATGTGCCATCTATCGACATGCTATGTAAACGACTTAAAAACCGTTTAACTGTGAGACTGGCAATTTTTCTGGTTATTAGTAGAAGAAATGACAAATGATAATTAGTGGCCTCAAATGGCTGAAGAAGATTGTGGACTTTGCATGTTTTCTGATTTACATGTACAAGACAAGTCAAATGATTTGGGTGTAGTTGATCGGCTCTCAATAGTGACTTCCAGTAGAATTGGGCTGCTACCGCTTTTAATATTTGAAAGATGTAAACATTCAAAACAGTTGATTTATCTCTCACAGAATGACTTCTTAATGATACTCCTAGCGTTATTCAGATCTCAAATAAATCCATCTTTCATGACTAAAAGTCGAGTTCGACCATGAAGAAGTCCGTCGTGCTTACATTTTGGACATAGGTCAGGTTACATAGCATGTCTAGAGATGGCATGTTGAAAGATGGTCGAAAGATGTCACCTACTATGCATGTAACACTGAGAGCAGGTATAAGTGGCCATTTCCCAGAGGGCGGCCACGTAGTAGGGGTTTGACTGTATCTGTCAGACAATTTCATAATTGGTAAATTTAAATCATTATAAGTAATATCAAGGATATAATTCATGCATTTATCATCGTCTGTTGATTTTAGATAAGGGAAGAGTGTAAGTTGTGATTAGACAATGTCCGGTGAATTATAACTTTGCCATGTTGGTGATATTCATGAATTTGCACAACATTAAGACATAGCATGAGCCAAACTTAATGCTGAATGTGATGTGATTTCATGTAATGTTAGTCAGGGGTTTCATTAAGGGCCAGGCACCAGGAAAATTGGCCAGCTGTAAGGACACTACTTTGCCTGGCTGGTTTGACCATCTAGCAGAAAGTTTTTCTTACAAAGTAGTTCAGTTCTGATAGCTTTGCCTGCTTGTGAAAACCAGGTGACTTCCTGCTGAAAATGTTAATTAAACCCCTGATTCACGTAAAAATTATTGTCTGGTTATAGTTTTATTTGTAGTCATTTGAGAAAAATTTGACATAATTTTCCTCCCATCCTTCTTTAGGGTGATTTAATACATCCTATTAGTGAAGTGGTGTCAGGATGGCAGTATGGAGAAAACTTGAAAACTAACAGGTATATACAGTCTGGTGCAGGAAATTCACACAGCAGTTTGTGTTATTTATTTGCAGCATCTGATAATTCTGTGCAGGATGTTGAGCTTTTAGTTTTCTTTGTACACTTAACAAGTGCTTTATGAATAACGTGAAATAATGTTCTGATAGCTTAAAGATTATTCAAGAGTTGTAGACATGAGTTCACGAATGCAAGTTTCTCTTAAGTGTAAGATAAATACTTCACATGTTCAAGTACATTTTGGGCTAATAAAAATATTTATTAGGTAATGAATCTTTTTGCAAAAATGGCAAGCACTTCCATCATACTGACAGTTTATTAGGGATTTCAACTTGATATCTTTATGTTAATTGCAGATCAGGCTGGTTTCCAGCTGCGTATACTGAACAAGTTCTTGCTGTTGCAACTGGGTAAGTTTCAAACAAGGTTGCAGATCAATAATTGTTAATCATAACAAATCGTAAAGTTTTACATCTATAGTTATATATTAATATTTATTACATGGCAAACTGGTCCACAATGAAAGAGAGAATTCTGGTTGGTTCCCTGAAAAGTCCTCATTTTACAATATAGACCCCTAAGGTGGCCAATCATGAATTTCACTGTAGTTTCAGAGCATTGTGTTTCAAAAAACATTGAAAGTGACCTGAAAAACACTAATGTATGCCTGACTTTGATATGTGCTTGCCAAGATCTCATGCATCATGCATCAAGCTCAAAGTGTGATTTTCCATGGAGGTTACCATGTAATCCTTTGGAGTGGAAGCTTAAGAGAACAAGAAGTGCTGTGGTAACAGTAACACATGCTTTGAGCCAGTGCTCGAACCCTTGAGACAAGTTATCATGCACCGGGGCATAGAGGAAAATAATAACTAAGTGCCTTTTATTAATATTATTGTATTACTGCCTTCTTTTCATAGTCCCACTATAAGTCATACATTGCCTTCCAGTGGATTGCATCCTCGTCCTCCATTAGAGACCAACGGTGGTCACAAGTCATTAAAGCGTTATTCAAGTGCAGGACCTAATGCCATGAATTTCCCTCCTCCAGACTACCCTGGTGACTTGGAGAACAAACCAGGAGCTAATCATTTGCCATCTCTGGACACTCTTGATCAATCAGGTAGTTGACAACTCTACAGTTGGTACATGTCGGTAATAGTTGATTCTGTCAGCTGGAGTTTACCCAATTAAATTTTGATCTCCAACGCAATTTCTTTTCAAACATCATTCTTAAAGCTGTAAAAGGGCTAAAACAGCCATTTCCGTGTTGTCTATTTCTTTGTTGATGTTTACCCTCATATTTGCAGAGGTTAAGTTCTGGCTTAGACAAGCTTGGAGGTCAGCTTATAAGACCATAAATAGCCCCAGTCTGACACTTATCGAGAGTCTTGCTTCTTGATAATAATTGAAACATATATTTATTTGTTTCCCTTTTTCAGGAAACCAAGTCATGACACAAGTCACAAGTATGGCACCCCACTTTCCAGGTTTAAATGGGAACAACAGTATCTCCCAGACCATCTGGTCACCGATGATACCACCTCCACCTCCACCGCCTCTTCCCCCTCCTATGATTTTGTTAGAAGGAACTAGAGGAAACAACACACAGAAGTAAGTTATGAAAACGCCTTCGCTAGAGGCAGTGCTGCTTAGATAAAATGAAGTTTCATATCCCTGGCAGATATAGAAACACGG